GACAGTACTTTTGATAGTCATGATGCAAACGTTCGTCAACGAAGAAATGCAGATGAAGAACTGCTGAATTTGACACTTCATGCTAAGTTACATATGAAACCACAAGTTCTTAAGACTGCTAAACTGCGTTAGCTATTCTTCTCTAAACAGTATTTTTATAGAATGAAACAGTATCTTATTACATTTTCTTTTTAACTTTTTTTTTTTCTTGAGTTAACATTATTGCTGCATATCTTTCAGGATTACCACAAAAAAATGCATCAGTGATACAACCGTCTACAGTGGTTCCAATAGTTGCCGGACTTATCCTAATAACAACAGTGATCGCTTTTGCTTTTTATTTAAAACAGCGAAAACAGAATATCAATGTAAACGAATACCGGTCAGAATCATCTTATACATCTTCTGTTATGCATGGAGCTCCAAGACGAAGTTTTATTTACCTGTAATAGAATTGTCGTTATGCTGAACAGAACAGATCTTTTTCTCAACAGTCAACAATATGGCAACTATACCTCAAAACGGAATATGCATAATTTGGACAGCAGCATTATTCTGCAGTATCCTATAAGTGAAGGCAGAAAATGTTACCTGTAATGATCTATTAAAATGTTCTCTTAAACCGAGAACATAGTTTGTCAAACCTATCTCTTTTTTTGCACTGAAAACAATCCGATACTCATCTGTTTTTTGAGTTTATACATTGTTTCTTTTTTTTGATGCTTCTTATAAAAGAATGATATGAAAGAATAAAAGTTGTCTTGAAGTTGTTTTTTTGGCAACGCACAGATAATTCTTAACGCATCTTATATGCTACAAAAGCGTTTGATCCTTTTACATTACAGTGCTTAAAGTTGACAGGTTTCTTACCAGTGAAGTCAAACGTTAAATCAGATTTTGTGGGTCAGATATCAGCAAAATTGAAAACATAAAAGGCATAAAAGAATTTTAACGTAGAAAATCTTTTCAAAATTTTTTTTAAAAGTTTTAGAGAAAGTAAAAAAAAGAACTGTACTTCAGTTATCATATTACTTATGTGTTTTATTTTTAGTAGTATTCAATTTGTACAGCTCTTCAGTGGATGACGTTTTAAAAATACCAAATCGTTAGTATCATTCATATTTGAATACATACTACAAGAAAGCTCATATAAAAAATTGCCTCTGATTACGGTCGTTGAACAACAGTTCTAATGATAAAACTCATCAATGTTATTGTTTTTTTTTTTTTTTTTTT